TTTGTTTTGAAAGGAGGACAAAAAGACAGCATAATACATATTTTGAGAATCTTATCAAGAGTTAAAAGGGAAATAAGAGTTTCATTAAAATCTAGCTGGCTAGCAGGAAGCATGTTTATCTAATCATTTGTTTATGTAGAAAAGAATAAAAGTTTTGTTCCCTCAAAGCAAATGCAACATTTTTTTCTTCCCTTTCCCTCTCGAGGATAGCTATAATTCCAGATGTTGTTTGGATTCAAGATAGTGAATAGGAAAAAAAAAATCTTAATGATAATAACAGAGTCAGACTGGCTGGTTCTGTTTTGTCAGGGAAATAGAGAGATAAAAACTCCATTAATGGTGTGTGCTTTGCCTAAGTAGCTAATAAAACAATGCCTTCTTCACTGGAAATAAGTCCAGAGATTGGCAGTGATCAGTGCCAAGAGCATAAGGAGGCAGCTGGACAGACGGATGTTGTGTGTGAGAGAGGAGTGAAGGGTGTGAAGAGAAGGCTGTTAATGACTAATGTTAGATCTTCTCCTTCACAATATTTTTCTTTCCCATGGTTAACTAGTTACGTATATCACTATATATGTGCACATCAGAGCCAGTGTGGTGTAGTGGTTAAGGTATTGGATGAGGAGCATGAAGACCCAGGTTGTAGATTTTGCTTAGGCACAAAAGTCAGCTTGGTGACTTTGGGTCAGTCAGGATCTCACAGGACTAGAGCCAAAAGTTGAAAACATCTTTTTACCAACTGGTATTGGACCAGCATGTTAGATTACAGTCCATAACCTTCAGTGAAGAGGCTCATCCTGCAATGGATTGATTAAAATGATGATGATGATGATGATGATGATGATGATGAAGAGGCTCATCCTGCAATGGATTGATTAAAATGATGATGATGATGATGATGATGATAGTAGTAGTAGTAGTAGTAGTAATAATAATAATAATAATAATAATAATAATATACAAAAAAAGCTGTAAAAAAAAAAGGAAAGCACGCTCTATGGCAGTGATCAGTCATAGGGCTTCTGATTAGTTTTTGAATATAATTCTATTTGTAAAAATGACCTAAAAAATAAAGTCTCTTTCAAGCTGAATTTGACTTGATCTGATGATTTCATGGATATATCTGCGTAGTTTTCTTGACATCAGTATAAAATGGTTTGCCATTGCCTTTTTCTGGAATATTTTTGGACTTTCCACTCTTGCAGCATTGATACTTCATGGATGTTTTTCATCCCAGTACTAACTTTATCCAACTTTGCTTAGCTTTTGGAGGGTCAGCTATGAAAGTAATCTGCATAGGTATGTCAGTACTGATCTTCATTTAGATTTATGAGCTTCCACTAAATGATCTTGGAAGAGTTACTAAGCCACAGTGGGTTAGCCTTGGAGTATCATCTAAACCTAGACCAGAGGTTCCATTAAGGGGCTCTGCCAATATTAATCACAGTTTATACCTATGCTCGTGGTGCATTTAACTGAACCATCACTTGGCAGGTGGCCCAAACATGGGAAGGGGAGTTAACCTATTGTTTAGTTTCCTTTCTCTCCAGACCTAGAGATGGGAGGCAGTAATGGTGTAAAATGGGGGTGTTTCTGCTTCAGTATTGCTGCTACTCGTAGCTTTCCTCCACCACATGCTCAGTAGCATCAACTCCAATTAGGCCTCCTCAATTTGGGGGGTGGGGGAGGAGTACAGAAAGCAACACTGACTATTGCTTTTCTGTATTGTTTGGTGTGCACCCAAAGTAAGCTAGCTTAGTGTTCATCCACATTTACCAATTATCTGTCACTGGCTTTGTAAAGTAATTGTGAGAAGAACTTTGGGGAGAAAGACCATATATATTAGCTTGAACTCCCTTTTGCAAATGTTTGATATACAGGTAGTCCTTGTGTTATGATGGCAACTGGGATTGGGACTGCTGTCACTAAGTGATGCAGTCATAAAGCATGATGTCATGTGACTGCATCGCTTACCAGCGGCAGTCCTGATTGCTGTCATAACCTCAAGACATGTCGGTCATTAAGCAGGAAGAGGCGGGATTCCCAGGTAAGGTGCACATGGGTGCCGTGGGGGTGGTGTGGAATGTCGTGGGGGGTGAGGGACGCTGTGTGCAGGCAGCAGAAAAAGCAAGAGCAACTTACTGGAGCGACTTGCGACCTTCCCTGCTGGCTTCCCCATTGACTTTGCTTGTGGGAAGCTGGCAGGGAATGTTGCAGATGGCGATCATGTGATTGTGGCTCCCTGCGATGTCATAATCACAAGCCGAGTGCCCAGATCACAATCACGTGACTGCGGGGGGGAGGTGCTGCAACGGCCGGAACTTCAAGGACCAGTTGTATGTCCATTTTTTCAGCACCACTGGAACTTTTAATGGTCACTGAACAAATGGATGTAAGGCAAGGACTACCTGTATATGTAATAAAATGTAAAGAACTGTATTTTCTTGTTTTGGGACTTGTTTATTAACATTCAGTGGAAGACTCTCAGCGAGACATTGAGATGCAGGCAGGCTTTCTTGTTACTATAGGCAGAATGTGGGAACAGGCATTCTGTAGGCAAGTTTTTTTTTTAAAACTTGAATACCCTGTCTTTTGGGGGGCACTCAGAGTTGCCTGGTTGTTTAGAAAAGTAGCAAACCAGGCGTTTTTTTGAACTAGAAAAACTGCATGTTGTCTCTGTTTTCTTCCTTTTGTCAGGGAAATAAAAATTCCCAAGTCATTTTGAGATGTGGGAAGAAATTATCAGAGCTGGCCATGGACTTTCTGTATTTGGAATACAGATCAAGGTTGCTTTCCTTGCAAAATTAAGAGACATTTCCTTCATAATGGAGAGAAAAAACATATTTTTATTGGTTTCCCAAAAGCTGCTTCTACAGTTCTGAGATAAAGGGAAATGAGAAGCACACATTGATTTCTGGGATGACATCATATTTTACTCAAGTGATAGCTTTTTCATGCTTTTTTAAAGAAGGATTTCTGCTGCTGCTAATTTTAAGTTATAGTATCTGTTGAAGTACTCTGCTTACGTGGCATTAAAGTTTTCTATTTAGAAATGGAATTCATTTATTTTATTTTTACAATTGTATACTGTCTTTGTTCCCTATTCAACAACTAAGGAGTTCAATAAAATCTCATTAAAATAATCATAATAAAAACATACAGAAGAGCAGCTGCTTTTTGTTACATGATCCTAGACCTAATCAAGACTAAAATTTCTTGACAACTAAAATTAAACAATTTGTTTACTTAACATTTGAGTAAATAGGACTTTGCCTGTGGTTCAAAAGTTTTTAAAAGTCTACCTGAAATAGGGCTGGTGACTTCATGAATACATCCATGTAGAAGTATTTATTGATTTATATCCCCCTGCAATCTGACAACTCATAGTGGCTCATACAATATAAGGAAAAATTAAAGCATCCGTAGTATGTATGGGGTCGCTAAGAGTTGACACTGACTTGATAGCACATAATCACATGATCAGTGGTACATTTAAAATTACACTTTAATCAGAAAATCCATAGACACTATGAGATTAATATCAACACAATTTAAATAAAAATATCAATATAGATATAAAACATGGGCAATACATAGCATCATTGGAAGCCTCTCCAAAATAGCTCAGTTTTTAACAGTTTCCTGAAAGCTGTCAAAGACGGGACCAGGCTATTCTCCGCCGGAAAACTATTCCAAAGCAGTCAGGCAACCATGAGAAGCAGTTCCTCTAAACTTTGGCTCCCCTCCCCTCATGAAGATGTGGAACTAGAAGGAATTTCTCCTTGAGCAAGCTACTAGGATGAGCTGATTCAGATTGGAATCCTCTTGGAGGCAATGTTGAAACGGCTTGCTGTTGTCTTTTTCTGGGGTATTGTTTCAACTAGCCTTGCCTGCAATTTGGGTAATAGAATTTGGTCTCCAATTGAAGTTCTAACCATGCTAAGCTTTTTGAGACCAACCAAGGTTGAAAAAGATCTGGTGAGGAATTTTCCTCCCTATCTTGAGCTGCATTTCTAAAATGCTTTGAACCTCAATAGCAGCAAGAGATTTATCAGTGATGCAGTGAAATCAGTGGAGTGGGGTAGATTGAAATAGTTTGTGAGGGTTTGTTTGTTTGTTTCTGTTTTTTTTTTTAAAGCTCCAGATAGGAATGTTAAGCCCAGCAGAGGCTTACAACACTTCCGTGATTAATCTTTCAACAGCAATGAAAAAAACAGGGCAATAATTGGTCTGTTGAAAAATGGGAGTTCTCCTCTAAATTTTGGCAATACAATCTTGGGGGCTTCCTTGGTTGCAAAATGGGATTGGGCCATATGGGGCCTATGGATTGCCAATCCTTACTTTAAAATGTGAGTGCAAAAAGAGCAGCTTGGGAACCACATGCCACCTACTATCTGCATCTGCGACTTTCAAAATGAATGAAGCCAGAAATTTGTGCTAGGTTTTTTTTCCTTTGTATTTTGTGGAACAAAATGGGGGTCTTAAACTTTGCTGGTCCACTTTGCATCCTGGTCCCACCCATTTTTGAAGTTCAGTGAATGACGAGCACCCAGATGTGGTGTGGCAGGTCTCAAGGTGGCTGATAAAGGTTTTGGGCTGATCTCCTTTTGGAGAAGGGAAAGTTCCACAGTCTGAGCTTAATTGCAGAACAAATTCTCTCTCTTCTGGTTCTCTGCTTAATCTCTGCTGCAAAGGGTACCAGTGGGAGGGCCTGTGATGATGGTCAAAAGCAGTAAACAGGCTTGTACGCAGGTATCCCTTTGTGTAAGAGGAATAGAGGAAAGAAACCTGGTGACCACTGTGGCTTTTCACAACTTCTGAAATTAGCATAAGTCAAACATAGTAGCTCAGAAGACATCATATGTAGCTTATAGTACCATTTCTTTGAAACACAGCTCTTGTTCTCTGATTAATCACTCTTTGTTTTATTTGTAAAAAGAAAGAGAGTTTGTTCTTGGTGACAATATCGATCAAGTTAAATACTGTTTTTGCCTTTGCTCCAGGAAAACAGAAGTTTCACTTCATGGCAAGAAGTGATATGTTGCAACAGAAACTGCCCCCCAAATTGGGCAGAAGGAATCTTCATAAATTGTGATCAGCGGACCTTCAGTCAGTTTTTGCTGAGATGGGTTACACAGCTCACAGTTCAGTCCTGGGATTTATTCTTAGGTAAGTATGTATAGAATGGCAAATTAATTAAGTAAACAGTACATTGCTTCAGTCCCATACTTTTTAAAAAATCTGCTTGCTATGAGATATTGACATGGAAGCATTACATCAGGTGTGTATTTCATTGCATCTGTAATCTCTTGGAAAGATATCCATTAAGGTAATGGACCTAGAACAGATTTGGAGGACATGGCAGGGAAGGGTGAAAGATCAAGGGAAATTCCAGCTGTGCAAGTTGGATAATAAAATGTTGGATGTAGCCCATTGCTTTCAGTTTTGCATTTCAAGGGTATTTCAGTGTTCTTTGAGAATTATAAAAGTTTTATCAGATACAACCTTCTGGTAGATAAAGAATCAGTGTAATACGATGATGCACAGAATACACTGTTTTTGACATGCATATTGTTTCTTTTCTGTTCTTTTTTTTGGCCCTTTGAGTCAGGTTGGTTTGTTTGTTTTTAATCCTGGCGACTGCCTGGACAAGTCCCTGCAGTTTTCTTGGCAAGGTTTTTCGGAAGTGGTTTGCCCTTGCCTCCTTCCTAGGGCTGAGAGAGAGCAGCTGGCCCAGGGTCACCCAGCTGGCTTCATGCCTAAGGAAGGACTAGAACTCTCGGTCTCCTGGTTTCTAGCCTGATGCCTTAATCACTACACCAAACTGGCTGTCATTTTTTCTTAGGGTAGCAGTAAAAATACATTAAAATTCCTGTGTTAGCCCTCCAGATATGTTATACTCCAGTTTTCATGCTGGCTGAGAGAGAGAAAAAAATATTTTAGTACGATATATCTGGAAGACACCACATCAGAAATGGTTGCTTCAAGGTGGAATATGCTTGATTTCCTGTGATAGTCAGTTAACTAGTAAGATAATATCAATTATCATTTGAACATTATGGGAAATTCAGAATACCATTACATTTGTTCCAAGTCAGCGTTGAGTTGAATGGCCTTCTAAATCTAAATTGTAAATAAATTTTAACTTACCCTTTAAAGTGTATTATGGTATTAGCTTGTAGCAAAGTAATAATGAGGCTTTGTAGTGTAACTGTACCCACAACTTTTAGAACTGATCTTTGCTTTTTATATCCCTGTGTTGCTGCTCAATTATTTGGTGTTTGGGCTATACCTGGTGTAACTCCTGAATGTTATTCACTTATATTTTTATTTTCATACTACTGCTGTAAATAATAATTGACCACAGTTTAGGATTTAAAGTGTGTTATTTCGCCTCATTTCCAGAAATGTAACTAATGCACAGCAGACAAATTGGGCAAATGTGATATTTATTTCAACCTCAGCAGTGGAATGTTCCTTCTTGCTGGGCCTCTTCTTTTTTCCTGAATATGCAATTAAAGTTGACCTTTAGGTCACCCCTATCAACATCATGAAGCTGATTAGACCACTGTGACAATTTCAGGGGCAAAGCTCCAAAAGTGCTTTGTAAAGGGTCTTTAGTCGGAGTTAAGCCTGCAAGTGTCTATAGTTTCTCATCTATTACAGGGGTGGGGTACATTTTATGGCTTAATGGATAAATAGGAACCTGACCAAGCATGTTGAAGTTTCTGCATTGGCAGTAAGAAAAGCCACAGCCTGCTGTTGGTATGTAGCCTCCCAGCACATTTGCACAGAAACCCCTTGCCTGTTTGCATATACTAATATTCCTGTATGACAGCTACCTCTGGCTCTCCTCTCTCTTAACAGTGAGAGGAAAGAGAAATTGCAGGGGCTGCTGTCTCAAAGCGTTCTAGATTCTTGAAATGGCTTTGCTTGAATTTTCCAGTTGAAAAAGATGTGAATGAAGTCTTCGAGAAGCACTACTTCATGATGATCCAAGCACCTTGGGGACAATGAGATGTCCTGGGATTCCTATTTTTCTGAGCACATTCCATAGTTTGACATGACTGACACAAAGGCCTTTCTATAATCATTGAAGCACATAGTGACTTTCTGTGTTCAGATTCGATCAACAGGCTGATAATTCTCCATAGCTGATTTATAAAGAGGGTAGAAATTCTAGTAATTCTGGCATCTGCTGTTTCTCTAGTACATGAGAAGTCAGTTACCTGTTAGAGATCAGGGCACATTCAGTAGCTTTTCTGTTTGCATGAACTGAGTGCCAAGCTATGTTCTGTATGTTTTATTTAAAAGTAAAGGTAGTGTGGTCTGCGAAAGCCGATATTTTCCCCTAAAGGTCACTAGAGAATCTTTTTATTCTTTGTTCAGTAGGCAATGGAGGCAATGGAGGTTGCTTTGCCGCTGGCTTATATTTCATGGCAAAATAAAGGCATGTAGATACCCCGTTAAGATTTGCTTTCCCATTGACTTGTGTGGGTAACTGAAGTACAAGAATGGTATAAGCTGTATCTGAGGGAGGCTGGAGTTTATTACATCCCCATTATCCTAAGAAAAGCTCTTTTGTTGAACAGCATTTCTGATGCAGCGACTCTCATCAGGACGGGACAGATTCATGCAGTAGTGAATGCAATTCTGATACCCGCAGGGTTCCTTCATCTTTGAGAAGTGAACAGCAGAAATTAACAGAAACTTCCTTATTTATTGCATGAATGCGCTCTTTCTAGGAGTGCTTGGTACATTGCATTCTATCAAAGGATCTTGCAAAAGTACTGAAGCCTAGTTAGGATAACTTTACATAGGAATAACAGATCATGTGAGTCACAAGTATTACTAATTTTTTTTTTTTTTACCTTCTGTATATATTTGCCTGTAAGCCTGCTGGCAAATTAACAGGACAGGAACAAAATGATTTTAAAGAGCAGCTTTACCACAAGCCGACATATTTCTCCAACCTCTCTATTTTTCCAAGGAAAAAAAATTGCCTTGACTTCAAAATTTCCAGAAATTTGAGGAAAATATGCAGAAATTATAGACATAAACGTTGTTGTTGTTGTTTAGTCGTTAAGTCGTGTCCGACTCTTCGTGACCCCATGAACCATA